TTTCTTTCTTTCTTTCTTTCTTTCTTTCTTTCTTTCTTTCTTTCTTTCTTTCTTTCTTTCTTTCTTTCTTTTTACAAAGGGAGAAATGAATGACTTCCATGTCATCTCCTTCATTCTCCTTTCTTTTTTTTCCTCACTAGCTAAGCTTATTCATTTTATGGCTTGTTAATCATTTAATGTTGCATTTCTATTCTTATTAGTTTTCATGATAAATTTACTATGCAAACTAATAAAATTTAAATACAGTTAAGTCCCATATCCTGTCTGTTCACCTTTTGATACCTTACTGGCAACTCAAGTGCACTAATGAAGACATCAGTTCCAACAGAAGAGACTGACATTCAGTTCTCTCTTCTAAGGACACTGCCTGTAGTGGACTGGAAGAAAACACTTATGGTAGATGTGGCAACCAACCAAAATCATAGCATCATCTTTAGAAGTAATGATAGAATTGAGGGAAAGTGGAGAAATTATGCTACTCCAGTTCCATTCCCCACCAGTAATCATGTTACACTTTTCCTAATGGCAAAAGTTAAAAAAAACATCCCATATTTAACTCTAAAAAAATAAGACATAAATATACGAAGTAATTTCTTATGAGATATTTCATGGATTGAATGAAATAGAACAAATAATTACTAAGTATATAGTTCCTTTTGCTTCTGGGGAAATAGCAATTTTTTTAAAAAAAAAATCTTTTACACATATTTATATCTGGTTCTTTTCCTATTTTTTTTTAAAAAAATGCTATTTTAATGAACTTTTTAAAAATTAATAATAATTCCAGATGTTAAGATGGAAAAAACAGGTCAGAACAGATGTTATTTCCCACCCACCCCTTCAATTATTTTACAAACAGCTACATCAAGTCATGGACACTGCAGAATAACTTTTGTGGCCAAACAATATGTGCATAATTGCACAGTTGTATAATTGGAACTGTGGAATTTGAAGATATCTCGTGCCAGCAAGTAAAAAGAGAATAGACAAAACAAGTGGTATTGCTGGAGCATTCCATTCCATGATATTGCAAGTAGTATTAATATTATCTAAAAATAGATAGCCGTTGTGTCGATCTTTCACAAGACTTCTCATTTTCTGAGAAGAAAACTAGGGATTGGTTTTAATAGAAGAACTTAAAGGGAAATATCTAACATTAGAATCATTTTCTCCTATTATTAATGATATCCCTAGCATTGATACATATATATATTGTTGGAAATGGTGGCCAAAGACTGTCAAGAAGCTGTACTGGTTAGGAACAGAGTCAGCGAGTATAGGTTCGTGCTTTACAAATCAGATAATCCTCTTTTAATTCTAGCATGTAAAGGTATCCAAAACTAAAGAATACATGTAGCTCCGGTTGGAACCATTGAGTTCTTGGTGTTCTCAAAGCTTGATTATTTTCCACACAAGCTGAGAGAATACCAAGAACCCAATACGTAAAGGTATGTGCATACTAGGTACCAACAGTTTCACCTCATTGACCATTACTTAAATACAGACATGTCTCCAGAAGCAGGACACAGAACATGATTTTGTTCCACTGAAGCCTTCCCCATACATGTATCTTGAAAAGCATCTAAGCAATGATACCATTAGCCATATTTTCTACTATCCAAATACAAGGCAGGCAGCTACATAAGGAAAGCTTTGCAGACTTTTACGATATGCTGAATGCTAACAGCATAGACTTCCTGCTATGTTAGACTGTAGGTAGGTCAGCAGAATTGTCCCATTGCTTAATTCTCCATTAAAAAGATGTGCATGGGCATATTCCCTTCCCTCCCCATCACATGTTCTATTATTTCTAGTGTTTAAAATGGAATATTTCTCCTATTTTATTTTATTTTCAGCTTTTCTGTTTAATGCAGATAGTAATCAGAACAGGGGCATTGGAAAACTTGGACTTACAGAGATTCCAAGTGAAATTTCTTACAATTATTCTGAAATTGATTTTTCATTACACAGTTGAAACTTTGTTCAGAGATAAGTTATCTTCTCTGCATCTTACCAATGTTAGTCTATGTGCTGCCAAAGTGAACACTTCAAAGATAAATGATCAATATTACGAGCTGTGATGCTTTCAAGTAGGTGATAATTTATTTGCATGCCAGCAACAAGTCCTAACTTTAGAGAAAGAACTGTGTGAATTGTTTCATATTCAAGGGAACCAGATTCAAGATTTAGAGAAAGTGAATAATCAATCGGAATATAGCAATTCAGTCCCTTGAGTTCTCATTATTTTTGTTGATTCTGTCTGTTTCAGCCACAAATGAGTTCATCAGCGGACTGTCTCCTATCCTAAACACTAAAATCAACAGCATATTTTTAACTGATACTCCTGATGCAGCATTATGGCTTTCTTGGTGTCACAATTCATATTTTACCAAACATAACAGACTATTTCCCTTGATAGTAATAGTTTATTCAAACCTCAGTCAATATTTCATTCATTTAGCCACCGATGGCAATTCTGGGATATATTCCAAGAACCCCAATTTTTGTCAGCTCTTAATAGGTGATTCAGAAAAACAGAGGTTCATGAGCAACTTAAAGGAAGCAATCAAACAAACAAACAAAAAAGCAAACGACCCTGATTAACCAAACACAAGCAGAGGAGAGCAATACAAAACTTTCTCTGGGCTCTGCTTTTTCCTTTGATGGGCAGCTAGAACACTACGAAGTTTAATAACCACCCTGACATACAGATTAACATTTAATTATTAAGTGCTATATCAATTTCTTTTTCCAAACCTAATTCTAACAAATCCGTTTGTTTTAATTTTTTAGGGGCAACCTGAGATAAATTCATTTATCATTTGAGGGATCAGAGTGCTACAAAACTTGAAAACTCCTGCTCCAAAATATCTTCCAAAATACTTCCGTCTGTGACTTCCTTAAGCATCTATACATCTGAACTGTTATGTGTTCGACAGAACACCCCCAAAATGTAACTTTAACCCTAGTTATGTTGTTCAATGTTATAGATATATTTGTATCCTGCATTAAACTTATGTGCTGGAATTAAACAGCACTAAACAACCCTCTCTCGACTATTCACTCAAGTGTTATTTCCTTTGGCGTTATAGTACAACACATGAAAGAAATAGTAAGAAGCACCTTAGAGGTAAGATACAAGTGGCATATTTCCATATTATCATTGGATATAGACACTGGATAAACTACTGTGTGGTTTTTTTTTTTTTGTTTTTGGTTTTTTTTGCGCACTAAGTTTCCTTGATCCTGGGAGACGCTGTCTCTCATGCATTTGTCGGGGTAGATCCTCCGCCCTTATCAACCTCACTTACCTTAGCATAGCAAAAGGAGATGAGCAGCAGAGGTAGCAAATAGCCAAAGATGAAGGTACACAGAACATACACTTTCTTGTGCTGGAGATTGGGCCAGACTTCCCAACAATAGGTCTGGTTGAGGAATTTTTCATGGACAATGCGCTGGTGGTGAGCCACAGGGGAAGCCATGGCAATAGAGAGAAGCCAGATGATCCCGACCCCCAAGAGCGCGTTACGGGACACCCGGACGGAGGAGGAGCGCCTGGAATGCACAATGGCCACATAGCGGTCCACCGACATAGCCGACAGGGTGAATATGCTGACCAACATGGAGACGGTGAAGAAGTAGTGGATGAACTTGCAGATGAAGGTCCCCAGAGACCAGTTGGGCAACATGTACACGGTGGACTGGAAAGGGATGCAGAAGAGTAAGTAAGCCAAGTCAGCGATGCTCAAGTTGAGCACAAAAATGTTGGTGGTGCTGCGGGGTTTGCCCGGCTTGCTCCGGGCCAGCACCGTGATGACCAGAGAATTGCCCATCACGCCCAGGGTGAAAATGAGGCCGAAGGCAATCAAGGTGACGACATTCTCCACGCCGATTTCAGAGAGGAAGCTGGCTTGCTCCTTCCCCGAGGGCTGATGGAGGGAGGCCCTGGAGGCGTTGAAGTCCAGCCAGGGCGAGCCCCAGGTTTGATTCCGGTCGCTGGAAACGGCAGGGGCTTCCGCTGCCATGCTCTGCTGCTCCGTCTTGAGAGGGAAAAAACAACCTTGGAGGCGACAGGTCCCGCGTGGCTCCCACTCAAATCCTCTCGGAAGGATGCCCGGGCGAACCTCTCCGCTCTCCCGCGCTAACTCCGCGGGGGAAACTCCAGAGGCTGAGCCCTCTTTCTTTTTCTCGCCCCCGCCCCTGGTTTACCACCACCACCCCTCCGCCTATTAAGTAGCAGCTCCAGGGATGGAAGGGGAGACACGAGCCGGCGCCGCTTCTGGCTTTTCAAAGAAAGCTCCACGCGCGCTCAAGGCTGTTGCTTCCCCCACGCGACCACGCTGTCCTTCGTTTCAGTCAGTCCCCGCCCTGCTTTGCTCCTTAGCAATGGGAAACTTCCCACAACCGAGCCGGCCTGAACGTGGAAAGATTTCTGCCTTGTTCTGGCAGCGACTGACAAAGCCCGGGTCAGGCTCCTGAGCTTCCCATAGCCGACCCACCCGCTTCGGGTGCCTCCCTTTCCCCGTTTTCCTGATTCCCAGCAGCCCGACGCGGAGCTTAGCCGGGGCACTTAGGCAGCGACTGTCCAGCGGCAGCCGTCGTGTGTTGGCTGGCGCCTTCGCTGCTCCCCTCCCCCTTTCCTCGTTTCTCCCAATGCCACGCTCCTCCCTCAGCTTGTTTGACGTAAATCAGACCAGGTCGGCTTCCCACGTTTCCTATACCCACGTTCAGTGAGTAAAACCCGAGTAAATCTCTACTATCTCTCCCCACCCCTTTCCTTCCCAGGAAACGCTGCCTTTTCCCCTGCCTGGAATCAACCCATTGAAGAATCCAATGGGATTGATGAAAAAGAGTCTATCTTGTCCCTTTTATGCTGTTCCTTTCCTTTTCCCACTTCATTTTGGCCAGGCGTATAATAAACTTCATCTAGCCAGGTTTAGAGTAAATTACGCTCAGGATAATGTAACTCCGTCTGGATATTTCTTATTATACTTCTAATAGGCGTTTCTTCTCCAACAACAAGCAAAGAGCTTCGTGTATGCTTTCCCACCCATCATACTCTGGGCAATCCAGTGAGGTAGGTTGGGTAGAGAGAGAGAGAGACAGAATAAAGCAAGCTAAGAAGCATGAAAGCATCCTGTATTTTTAAAAAAATGAGATTTGTAACTCTCTCTTCACCAACAACAAGCAAAGAAAACAGCTCCAGTTCAAAAAATGCAACCAAAGGTCAGGGGTTAGCTCAAAACTAAGGGTGTTATTTTTGCTGAAAAGTTGAAATTCTATCATTTTAGCAAACAGGAAAAAAAACACGTTAAAGTTTTGCCACATAATGGTATCCTCTTTTTCATTTCTGCTTGGTTGCAATGTGAAAACAACAAAACCAAATAAAACATACCTCTCTCCGCAATTGATCTCGCAGCCAAATAAGTAGAAAAAAGTTTGCTGTTCTGATACCTTGTTATTGCTATTCTATTAATCTGGTTTTATAGTATCCATTGTATACTGCATTTTCCTTTCAGTCTGTATTGTAGCCTATCTCAACTTGTGTATCTAAGAATCCTTTCATTAAAAGTAAATGCATTCTTAGAAAATTCTCTTCAAGCAGCTTCGTTCAGTTATTCACAAGAAATGTGAATATAAGTAAAAATATAATCTTTTGCACCCATGTTTTCCTGCAGAAAACTTTAACCTTGTTTATTTTTATAAAGTTATTTACTTCTTTGTAGTGTGTGTCATTCTCCCCTCAGAACACAGTGTCCTTGGGTTTGTTTTCTCTCTTTAAAATGTCACAAAAGTTCCATTTTCTGTCCTCAATAGCCAGCACAAGACAATCTGTATCCATCAGCACTCTATACATTACTGTCATTTTGCAACTGTTTGTTAAGCACTAGAATATAAAAAAAAAAAATCTATGTCTTGATATATCAGACTAAATCAGTATCAATATCAAAGACTAACATGAGTCGGTACAATTCATTTCACCATTCTTGCCGGCTGCCCAAGAATATGATTTAATGTATACAATAATATAGAATATAGCATTACATTCTAGACATGAATCGAGCCCCAGAATTCTACACAATAATAAATAACTAGAAATAATAAACTTTCTTTAAAGATTTTTTAATTTGAAATTTTTATACTTGTCATCTATTCTCCTTCCCCCAAATCAAGGTATTCTCCTCAATTGTGAGTGGCATGTGAATTAACTACATTTGTGTGTGTGCGTGTATCTGTCTATAAATCTATGTATGAAAATTATTACTAAAAATATTCCACTATATGTGGGATTGTATGACTGCTAATCTATTCCAATGTTTTAGCATATTTTAAAAGATTGTGTTAAATTCTGTGTCTTTTGGACTTTAGATAAATAGATCAAAGTACTTTACCGTTTTCTTTTCTTTCTTCAATTATATTTAAAAGCCAGATCCTCAGCAATAATACTATGAATTCCTGAGTACTGTAGTTAGGATGTTTACATTTTCAGGGTAAGACCCATTTGTAAGGCAATTCATAAGGAGCATTTTCTTTTCTTTTTTTAATAAAAATTTTATTTGGGTTTTCACAAAACATAATACAAGTAAAATTTCTTTTTTTGAGAATAGCATGGTCCCAGGTTAACACTTCTCCATACAGACACAAATTCAATTTCACATTCATCTTTGTGTTCTATTCCATATCTTAATACTATTTTAACATTTTCTCAATAATTTTTCCCTTCCCTTAGTTTTCTCAATCTTACTTTTAATTATCTCATTCCTTTCTAAATTCAATTATATATATATATATATATATATATATATATCTTTTTCTAAGTTTCAATATCTTTCTAGTCATTATATTTATACTTTTGTCTGTCCTGTTTCAATTTCATATTTTCTTTTCTCATTAAACAATTTTTTTCCCTGTAGTTACTAATTGGAGTATGACACCTTTGTATCTTTTAATTTTTATCCATTCAACTCTTATTTAAACTTCAATTTATGCCTTTACAATTATAACATTCAATATAACATATAACTTCCAGTCAAATTCTGCTTGGTACATTCTTAAAATATGCACTAAGTTCTTAAAGAGAATATATATATATATAACAATAATAAATAAAATACTTATTCTATTCCAATTCAGCTCTATCTTTAATGTTAGTTATAATCATTGACATCTTTTAACATTTCTTTTCAATGGGGTATCATACTTCTAGGAACGCTTATAATATTTCCATAATTTTTTCATATTTCTTTCATATTCCTCTTCACTTAAATTTTTATAACACATTTTTAATAATTAAAATGTTCCCCTTCTTTCCTAATTTCATTCTCTCATTCTCTTTATTTCATTTATTTATTAAATATTCCATTACATTACAATGAGTATTTTGCCTATCATTTTAATCACATTTGTTTCATATTTTCAAAGTTCATTTCTATTTCTAATATAACAATACTATCTTATGTACCCTTGCGGAATCCCCCTTTCAATTAAGTTTTTACCCATTATCTCTGTGTCTTCTAAATAGGCTTATACCCTTAATCCTTATACATTTTCCCTGTTTCTCTATGTCCTGTTTCTGTCCTTTATAATTTCTTTTCCTTTCCCTCTTTCCCCTCTTCTTCTCCCTTGACCCCTTCTCTCTCTAATTCTGATTCTCTCTTCTGTAATCCTCTCTTCTGTTTCTTCCTAATGTTGTAATTACTTTTCAAACTATTCTTTTTTGGGAGTTGTTTTTTCAAATCTTAAATTTTTCACTCTCTTTCCCCCCTTTCCT